ATAACAATGTACCATCAAAGAAGTAGAAAGCATTTTCAATGAAAAAACAAAATCATCGGGCCATCAAGTTTCTAAATTAATAACATGCATTCCTAACTATGCAAAATATCCATGGAGAATCAAGAACTAAGTGAGCTAATTACAGGAAGAGAAAAAACAAGAAAACACAGCTTCTAATCCTAAGTATACGATGAAAAACAAGGAAAACACAACTATTATGAAGGAAAGAAAGAAAAATATTGCAAATCCTAAGTATATGAGGTAGTGTAGGAATCGAGATTACAGTCAGATAATCCTTGCCAACTAGGTGGAGCCAAGGTCAAAGGACGAAGCCGCACAATGAGATCTAAAACCAAGAAAATGTTAGAGACTTGAGGAATTATCCTCGGGTAGATACTCCAACCCTCAAGTCTGTAGAAAATAGTGGGCGGTCGGGCCGAACAGTTAGGGAACGGTGCTGGTCCGAGCAGAATAACAGTATGGGAGTTAAGAGTTGGATCATTTACCTTGAGAGGGAGATACTTTTTTATAGCCGAAGATCCGTGTCCTGATCGGATGAGGCTTTTGAGGTTGTCGGGATGAGGTTAATTGCCGAGGTCTTTGGGATAAGACATGATCCCCAGCGGAGTTGTCCCCATCCATATAATGATCTCCTGTCTTAGTTGTGCTTATCAACATGACGCAGCACTGACGTGGCCGAGGAGATAAGGCAAGGACATGGAGGTGACATGGTGCTGACATGGCTGAGATAGGATGGCCACATAGGCGACACATGGCGTTTGGGGCCAGCTCAATCATGACCCAAACACCACTCCCCTAGTTTCGAAGTCAAGGAGTGAAGTGCTCGGCCGCAGTGTGGCGTAAAGGAGTAAAGTTCTCGACTCCAGTTCCGAAGTCGAGGAGCGAAGTGCTCGGCCTTGAGGAACTTGAAGTTGAAGTCTGGTTGAGCGTGTTGGCTCGATCGAGTGGCTCGAAGTTAGGCTGGTCTCTCTGGGCGAGCCGGGCAGTTCAACACTGGTCCCATTCCCAAAACGGGTAGTCAGAGGCGTCATTTCGCTTCCTGAGACTTTACGCGTGTGGAGTGCGGTTGCGCCGATTGGCCCTCCTGAGCTTGTCAGAGCGGCATTTGATCCATGTTGTTGATCCTGTTTTGGTCTGGAGTGTTGGGGACCTATAAATAGCGGGAAGAGCATTTCCCCTTCATCATTTGCGAAAGAAGTCGCTTGCAGAGCTCGACAAGGAGTAATCTCCAATGCTCGATGTTTGCTTCAATTTCGCAGCCTTAACATTCAAAACCTAGTAAGATGTCTTCCTCGTCTTTCCATTCTTCTTCCTCTTCCTCTACTTCCTCTTCTGATTACACTACTTCCCATTCAGAGTCCAAACCGGGGTCCTTCATCGGGGCTGTCGAGCTTGATGTTCCTGAAGCTGAGGGTCGGGGAGCCGAGGCCGAGGACTTCGAGGTAGTAGATTTTAAGAGGCGGCCGAGGTGGCTGAGGCGGGACCATCGACTATGGAGGTCAAGCTTCCTACACGAGCTGGCCGCTGGTTTGAGACCACCCCGTGTTGTCTTTCTCGGGTATATGGCTCGAATCTAGGTTCTGTACAACATTCTCGAGGAATTTGAGCTCAGGTGTCCGAGGGCCGTGAGAGGCCCACAGATGCTCGACCAAACAAGATCTGTGTGTATGAAAAGAGTTTAGAGTTTGGGTTGAGGTTCCCGCTGCACGAGGGGGTTGTCGGGGTGCTTGAGTGGTATCGGGTACTGTTGGTGCAGTTGATTCCAAACTTATTTAGATTCTTGATCGGCCTCATGTCTTACTACTTTGTCCACGATGTTGATGTTACCTTGGGGATGGTCACCTATTTTCTCCAACTGAAGCATCACTAGCAGAGGTACTACTACTTCTCGGCTAGGCATCGAATCAAGGTGCTGGTTGGGGCCCCATCTTCGGTGAAGCACTAGGAAGGATTCTTCTTTGTGCATTGTGTCGGAGGTTCACCTTTGCTGGTCATGCTTCGGAAGCCGAGGACAAAGCTGTTGCAGCCCGAGTGGGCCTAGCTTACCGAGGAGGAGAGGGTGGTGATAGGCATGATAGAGAGGATTGACGTGAGGTGGTACACATTCTTCTCTTACTAATTTTTATAATGAAAAAATGCCATATGATTTTATAGCTGAAGATGATTGGGAAATGATAGTTTGTATAAAAGATTTTTTACAAAATTTTTATGATATAATTAATAAATTTTTGGGTGTTTATTACCCAACTAGTTGTATTTTAGTTAATCATTTATTTATAATTAGTGAATATTTTGCAAAATATAGAAATGATTCAAAATTTTAAAATATTATTGAAATAATGAAACTTAAATTTAAAAAATATTTATCCTCTATATTGCTTAGCTACAATATTAGATCCTAGGATTTGAAAAGATGATTTAAATGTTTTGCATGAATCTTATTGTGAAAATATGAATATTAAAATTGAAAATAAAAAAATTTAATAATTTATTATTTGAATTATACAGTTTATATGAATCTCAATTATTAGGGCATTTTGAGATCAAGATTGAAAATAAATATATTTTAATAATATTAATGAGAAAGGATAAAATCATTTTACAGTGGTTCAGGTGAGACCGTGAGAGTTGGGAGGAAGGTGAATCTAACTCAGAAAACATATTAGGGAGATAAATGATATAGATCCCAAACTAAGGGTGTGTGTGGAGTCTACCATTTAAAATAACTAGTTGCAAAAATAAAATAAAATCATTTTCCATTTTTTATGGCATTCTACTACCATAAAAGTTCTACTCTATCTTTTCTTTTTTCTTTTTAATTTTTCAGGTGTAATTATTTTAACGTAACCCTAACAAATATAATAGCTGATAATCAAATAACTACTTTTGACGTGGCATAGTCATTCGAGTTTGGTCAAAGGAAAAGATGTGGTTCTTTAATTTTGTTCTCCTGAGCCAGAACTTAAGATGCCATGTGTTGCATCAAAATAAAAGCAGGTATTTATGTAGAAACAAAAATTATAGGGTTATTATCTAAAACTCCCCTTCACTTTTTTTTTTTTTTGTTTTTTTATCCTGACTTTTCAAAACCTTGAGAGAGGCCCTCATTTTTGTTATCTAAAATTAATGACCACAAACAAAAGTTGTCCAGTTAAGCCGTTAATCATTTGTAATGACCAAGAATATTCCTTCATGTTTTTTTTTTTTTTTTGTTTTTTATCCACCAGAGAGCAAGACAACTACTGCCCCACTTCTCTCTCTCTGCTCCCACTTCTACGGTTTTGTTTTTGGAATCTTCCGTAAACAAAATTCCAATTTTACCCATAAAAATTTGGGCAAGGACCCAACATCAAAAAGACTAGCCGTGGTCCTTGTTTCATGAAATACAACTTCCTATTGGAACTATTCTTAGGTTCCTTCGTATAAGTTATAACTTAATCATTTTATCTTTTCTAGCATTTCTGAAACATTCATTTTCTAGACATGTTTCTTTACTGCCCACTACTTCGCTCTGTACAACATAACAGGCTTTGTAACTGTTTTATAGGATTTTTCTTTTAATCTAAGTGATACTCATCTATCACATAAGAGTCCAAATGCACCCCTCCATTATCCCCAATTTACCCTAATTCTTTGGGTTGACATTCTTCTCAATCTCTCCCTTATTATAAATTATTGAACCAAAATACTATAAATGGTCGCATTGAGTTGTCTATTGGTCTTCAATCCAAAGTGTATGTTGATTTACATTCCTATTATTACTAAATTTACATGTCATATACACTATTTTAATTCTATATATTTTAAAACCTCTTATTTCTAAGATGTTTGTCCTTAAGCTTAACTTTGCATTTTATCCTTTATTAATTTCATCAATTAGAACAAATGTCATCCACAAAACAATATACACACACATCCGACCTGATCTGATTTTTAATTGGATCAAGCGGGGCTAAATCCACATCCGTTTCAATTATTAATCATATGCAAGTTCTAACATCCGAATCTGAGATAATCGAATTGTAAGTCAAATCAGGCATTAAACTTTCAAAGTTGATTGATGATCATATTCCTATCACCAAATCGCGAATCATAGGCAAAGTCCTATCCTTTTATAGATGAAGGCATCCTAAGTAGTGTAGGACTTAAGACAACACTCACAACTCAATAGTGTCAGTGTTGTCCCAAGTCCCACATTGCGTAGGAATTTGAATGGACTTGCCTTTATCCATATAAAACTTTGCTTAGGATAATAATTCTTATATGTGAATTGGTCATAACATTGTAATACACATCAACATGTATAATATAAATTGAAGTTTTATATAAAATAAAATAAACTGTGTCTATAACATATCAAATATATAGGGAAAAACCATGATGCCAGAAAGACATGATACGGAAATGGTTTTGACCAACCCCCGCCCTTTGAGATATCACACTTGATTAGTTACTACTTTTTACATACAAGTTGAGTGGTTACAAGTTTTTCTAGTATCATAGTTAGAATATATAGTTCGTGGGTTTGGCTTGAAGTGTTGGGTCAAGAACAGCCCAAAATTGTGGGCCCAATGCATGTCAACCCAAGCCTGCACAAAAATATAGGCCTGGGCCCAAAAAAATTGCAGGCTAGTCCAAGCCAAGAATGATAGCTTCTAACTCTCCCTCATTTGGTTTGCCCGGGATGTTTAAGGTTCAGGTTGTAATGCATGGGGGTTCAAATAGCTTTGAGTGTAAATTCTAGGTTACTTTTGCTTCAGATTTGGCTGTCTTGTTTGTTTTGGGGAAGTAAAGTAGGAGTGCAAATAATACAAACCAACAAACAGAAGCAAAACTGAATTAGGTGCAAAATTTGTTTCAGGTTCAAATTTGCACTGCAAACAAGACGAGCAAGATCATGGTGCAAATAACATGTCAGGAAACCGATAATGTAACTTGGTCATGAATGGCCCTTGTATGCCAAAAAAATTGGACGGATATAATTATAATAGGGTTTTATAAGCCATCTAAAACCATGGAAGATATAATTAACATGTTTTACATGTCAATCCATACCATGCCAAATTAGAAATTTGATTGGGTCGGCTAGCATTCTCTTTGATTTTTGGATTTCACACAGTTCATTGTTTCAACTTTCAACTACATACTGCCTCAAGAAATTAAGAAGCATATCACATAAGCAGTTGAGCTCTGGTGAACACAAATACGCCTCCCCCTCCAACAGCACGACCCACTAGCATTTCATGATCCAAATATGAAAGATAATATAGTCCCCCAACTGACTGCCTGCAATCAATTGATTTTGACTCTTCATATCTATCTTCTTTTTTTTTTTAGAAATAAATTATTTGTAATTTATTAAGTAGAAAAGATGGTATGCATTATACGATATACAAGAATATAAAAAAGATAATTTGAGGCCCTGTTCCACAAAAGCAAACATTTAAGCAGGCAACAAGCTATTGTTCTAGGAAAAACCCTTCTTGCACCTGCCTTGACTATGCAAGCAGAAGTTGCATTAAGCTACCCAGTGAACCATCCAACTTGAACAAGAGACAAGGAGAAGAGGATGCCACTAATCTCATTCAGAAAATAAGCAATCCATGGGGCCAGTATGCAGCCCTTGCTCCATGAGATAACCTAAGCAAAATTGCCTTAAAAGCCAAAGTTAAGTGGCAAAACTTCTTTGTGATACCATTTAACATCTAACTCATAGGAAAATCAAGTATAATTTTAGATTTAAAAAACCCATCCTGACTTCAAGATCTATCTCATAGGAAAAAAAATGTACAATTCTAAGTACATACATACCCTCTTGCCTGGCAGAAAAGAAAGAAAAATGTACCTTTCTTGGCTTGTCACAGGAACTTGGGCTTTAAAAGCCCGGATGAACTGCAATATCTGAAAACAAGCATCATATGATTGTCAGAGCTATCATCATCAATGTTTCTGGAGAGTTCACTTTATTAAACATTCTTTCTACAAATCAGTTATTTTAGTATATTATTCTATGATAAATATCACTGAAAATTATTCATCTCTGGGCCAGTCAACAAAAAAGAAATCATATTGCCCAGCAGTTGAGAACTGCCAAGGTGGATTGGCCCAGATAGTCACACTAATTCACTAAATATGTAGTAATATGGCAACAAACTCAAAAATCAAGAAGGATTTCTAGAATGCCCTACCTGCAGACTTAAGAATGTCCGTGGCAGTATTGCTGGAGCTATCAGACCTTGCAGCCCTTCACTGATATTAATATTTTGAACAGCTACCTACCAAATAATATGTGGATACCTCAGTAGGCAATTGGAATGAGAAGTCAAAGGAAAGAAGTAGAAGATACACATACAACATATATGGTAAATTCAGGCAATTATGTATGTATAGCTCAGCAGCCCCTCTCTGCTCTCCTATACCCCTCTAATTTTTTTTGTTTTTTTTTGAATTTTTAAAAGATAAAAGTAACCAAAAGACATTAGCAACTCAATTGTCATTAATTGCAAGAGGACTTAAGGAATTTAATTGGTATTAATTGAAATGTCTACAATGATATATTTGTTATATTATAAATCTTATTTAATGCAAAAAAATTAAATGCAAATATTAGTATAAGAATAGATATGTTTAACGACATTAATGTTAGGTTGAAGGTTTTGTATGTATTGATGGTTCGGCTGTTAAGAGTTCTTATTAGCCTGTATTTGAGTTTAAGTTGTTATGTACTGGGCCTGTGTTAATGGGCCTAAGTCTGTTTAGTGTTTTAAGTTGTTTGGGTGTCCCATCTCTAATCATGGGCATCCCAGTCATTTCATGTAACATTGTACTGTACTTTAATATAAATAACAGTACTGTCGACTGGGTGAGTACAGTTCGACATTCTCAGCATCTCTTGGTCTTCTCCTCTCTTCTACTGCTTCAGCTACAGTACTTCAGCCTTCATGGTATCAGAGCATTAAGCACCTTCCTGGTTACAGCCGACGCCATCTCTTCTCTCTTGCTGTCTTTCTTTTCCTTTTTTTTTTTTCCTTTCTGGGTTGCTGCTGTGAAACCCTAGGGTTGTAGGAGAACAAAACAAGGTTCGAACCTAGAGTTTCCCTTGGTTGTAGGGCGCAAGGGAAGTAAGACCCAGATGCAGATGTCCTACTAGACTGTTTCTAGTAGATAGTAGCTATTCAGCTACTAAGAGAGGTCTGTATAAGACAGACCTAGTTGAGGACTGATTTCAGCAGTCCTAACAGTAGCCGTAAGGGGGAGAACACTCTTTACAGTTGCAGTACTCAAAACTCAAGTGAAGTCTGCATAGCACAGTGGTGGAGAGCCCTTAGTTTCAGGTCGGTTACCAGCCCAGAACACCTCATTTGCTGCTGTAACTGAACTGCTTCAGAGCTGTGACAGTCTCGGCAAGTCTGAAACAGTGTTGCGAGCTGTCAGAACCTT